CACTTGTGTGAGCAGAAAGAGTTTGTGCATCTGCACCTTCATGTCTCTCGCATGGCCATGAGGAGAGTCCCTTGATGGCCTGGTTTTTGCCATCTGATTCATGGGTGCTTCAGCTTCCTATCCTTAGTACCACTGTTAAGGCTGGGTGGCACCTTGCCATCAAGGGTCTTCTAAACTTAAGCAAGGGTGTGGGCTGGGTGTTGTTGAGGGTGGGGGTAGAGCTCCTTCCTCTGGCACAGCCATGACATCCGACACTAAGACTTATCACTGCCACAAGTGGTAGGGAAGGAGGAGCACACTAAATATTGTCTCAGTGTTTTCCCAGTAACAGGTCGCAGCTTGGTCTCCTCTTTAATCAGTGCACTGAACTGGAGGCTGGCAGAAGGTTGGCTGGCTTCTCAGCAGTCCTCTAGTATCCGGCTGTTAGGATGAGCTTGCTGCAGCTGCAATATGCCTGATTTTGGTAGTTAAGCAACAATAAACTTGGATAGATTCTGGGTAGGATATCATTTCAGGAATGGAGGAAGAGGTAGACTCTGGCGCTCTTCTGCTACTTATGGTAGATGGGAATAGCTTCCTGAAGTAAGCCCAGGGGCCGAGAGAAGAAGAGAGTATATTAGGGAGGTTGTACCAGGAAGTGATGGCATCTGGACTGGGGCCTGTGCTGTGACTGTTGTGGAGGTTGTGCTCTGTAGTGCACAGGGGTTGGAATATCCCAGGTGCCAGGTCACCATAGTACCTAGAAATTTCATCTTGACAACTCTAATGTTTTATTGTCGTGTCTCTTGGTAATAGTACAGAACTCATTTATCCTTCTGCATCAGAATATAGTATGATGTATGCCACTCAAATAAATGTGCACAGTGTTCTCATTGCTGCTCATTTATATCTAAGCTTCAGTATACAACATTCAATGGTAGTAGATAAATTTATTTTTAACTAGTTTCATTGTGTGCTGCCTCCAGTATTCAATTAGAATGTATTTTTTTAAAAAGCAGTAATGAAATTATGATAAATGGGAGGGGGCTGCCTCCAGTATTCAATTAGAATGTATTCTTTTAAAAAAAAGCAGCAATGAAATGATGATAAATGGGAGGGCGGTGAAATTAGATGAGGGCTAGAGGTCAGATTTTTGTTATGTTTGTGATCAGCAAGGTTACCCCTGTATTTATACATGTTTTTCATAGCATTACTAAAATGGCAAAAAACTGTGTAAAAGAGGAAAGAGTTAAGCTTGATGGTAGCAATAATGATAAAATATGGTTATAAAGTACAAAACCCAAAGGCTGACAAATGAGTCTAGTTGCAGTCCTAAGGACACTTTTGCTGGGAGTAAGTCCCATGGAATAACATGGTACTTCTGAGTAGACCTGCTTAGGATTGCTCCTTCTGGCTGCCAGGGTTTTGAACGAGGGGCCAAAATGTACAGAGTGAGGCTTGTGTTTCCTGCAGCTGCACTGCAGTTGTGGGGAATGGTTTCTAAAAAAAACAATGAAAGCACTTGGAATGGCAGCCCCAGCAGTTTTCTCACACACAAACCATACCCGGTGGCAGGTGGTGGTATTTTGCTGCTTCACGTTCATAGTTTGGTGAAATAACTCCTCCAGCGTGGTACTATGTTTATCCCATCCTTCCTCCGAGGGTGTCAGGGGGAAGGATGAACTCACCTTTTATCCTTCCAGCAATCCTGTGAGGTAAGTTAGGTTGAGGCAGTACAACTTGCCCAGAGTTGCCCAGTGGGTAGGGATCTGAACTTGGTCTGCCAGATCCTCCTAGTCTGGTGCTCTAGCCACTAGACAGCTTTGGCTCCCTGTTGTCCCAGTTGATCCTGAAGCCCATGGGGTGAAAGAGCACAAGCGGCAGTCTAGCTTTTCTACGGGAATACAGTCCCCAAGTGGCAAAAGTGCCTGTTTTCGACTGTCTTGGAATGCATATGCAAAGTATAGCTCACTCATGGAAGTGTAAAGCTAGCTAAGCTCACTGGGCTACGTGACTTGCATGCCCCCCCCCCAAAAAAAAATACCCATCAGGCTCGGAGTGTACTGGATGGCAAAGCCTTCCATCTTTTAGAAGCAGCTCACGAAAGGATTTTCTGCCCTGTGTTGTCAGGCCAGGTTAGAACAGCTTGGTGGGGGAGCAGGTGTCATCTCTGAGCACACCTTCCCTTTACGTGTTCTGCCTTTGTCCTCTGCATGCTGCGTTTTGTCTTGTTTGACAGGAAGTGCTTGCAAAATCCAAATTCGGCCAATTCTGTTACCTCACTGCTTATGTAATTGCTTTCTAAGTTTAGCTTCAGTGGTACAGCTGTGCAGTTCTTCTGTTGTCCTAGAGGCCTGTTGGGGATGCCACGGGAGGAATATTCCCCTCCCCCCCAATTTGAGGTCACATAATGTTGAATATAACAAGTCACCCACCCCCCCCCCATGAATTCTGGGAAAGGCTGGGTATGTGTGTGGAGGAGTGCAGCTAATGATGTTTTAAGTAAATAGGCTGCCTTGTCATCGTTTTCTTTTTATGAAGTGTGGATTTGGATGTGGGAGCTGGAAGGAGCATGCTTTCTTGCTTGCCTTGCCCTCAGGCCATTGAATTGTTGCCATTGTATTTTCAGACCTGGCATTCTTGAGGGCCCAAGCAAAAGGACCACACATGTGCTTCATGTTGCCGGTTGTTGCTTTAACACAGTTGTATGGAAGCACTACTTGATATTAAAGTGCAGTCCCCTTAGATGTTTGAAAGTCAGAACTGTAAGTTGCTTTGGCTTTCTAAATGAATGTTAATCTAATGTCTACAAACTGTCAGTTTCAACCTTGAGAGCAACTTCATGAAGGCCTGGTGTATCCTCCCTAGCAGTTACAGCTGCAAACAAGAACTAATCATTTGGCCTTAATTGGTTAGCTGGTTGCCTAATATGCGGGGCAGGCTGAAAAACGGCAATTCCAGTTGAAAGTCCTCATTTTCTCTTGCACTTGACTACTTATTATTATTTTTTTTGGAGAATCCTCTGTCTTTTATTCTCAGAATGTTGTTTTGCAGCACAGTTTGAATTTGAACTTTGTGAACTGATTGGAATACTTCATTTGATCAGAACACCAGTTAGAAAGTCAAAAGGGTAGGAGTTCTGCACCTTCTTATATTTTTTTTGTTGCAACAGAAGGTATTTCTTTTGCTTTCTGTTTTAGCTTGTCGCTATTAAATCCTGCTATTTTTTCTAAGGCTGAAGTGCGGACAGCAGTTGCTTGTGTGTGCTTTTTTCTCTCCCCCGGAAGCGAACCCAAGACTGGAGAGACAAACCTCCCAGAGGGGAGGGAACCTTAGTTATTAAGGCAAACTGCCCCTTGCCAGCTTTTTAGAACCTGGAGTGGCTGTGGTTTCAGCTCACAGACCCAAGGCGCGTGGGGGCAGTGGGTTTATACAAAACGTAACGGTTTTGTGATTCTCCCTACTGGCTATTTTCAGAAAGGCGAATAGTGAGAAGGTGATCTCCCTCCCCTACACACTTTCCAGCTCTCTCCCGCCCCTGAGCCTGCATACTTCTGTGGCTAAGTGCGCGGACTCTAATCTGAGAGAATCAGGTTTGATTCCCCACTCCTCCACTTGCACCCGCTGGATGATCTTGGGCAAGCCGTAGTTCTGGCACAGCTATTCTTGAAAAAAGAGCAGTTTCTGTCAAGAGCTCTCTCAGTCCTACCTACCTCACAGGGTAGGGTGTCTGTTGTGGGAATGGGAAGGGAAAGGAGCTTGTAAACTGCTCTGGGACTCTGAGTGAAGGGTGGGGTATAAATCCAGTCTCTTCCTCTTCCTCCTCCTCCTCCTCTTCTTCCTCTTCTTTCTCAGACCTGACCATTGGCTGTCATAGCCACAACAGGCAACTGGCTTGATATGCAGTGCATCTTACGGCTTATAACAGCTGCTAAATGACGACTGTTTTGGCCAGGCTTCCAAGTATTGTTTTCTGCAGGGTGCTTGAAGGCTTCTGTTTTTGCCACCTGGCAACAAGAAGAGGCTCATTGAAGTTGTGTTTGCCTTGCGTGGCTTGTGGACTATATTGGGTTTGGTAGATCTTGTGTCTTCAAGTGTTGGCATTTTGCATGAATGTTAGCATTTTGCAAGAGGAGAACATTGGTAGCAACTGTGAGATGTTTTACCTTCCATTTCTTGGGACTGCTGCTGGCTTCTGCTTTCTATTGGCAGATAAAACAAAGTCTTGCAGACAAATCTTGTATTTGGCCTATGTTATCCTTAAAACTGGAAATGGAATGAACTATCATAGCTGGGTTTTGTTTCCTTTCCAGCTCTGTCTATATACTAGTTCAGGATAAGCAACTGTTACTTTGATGACTGTCACTGAATTATTCACTGAATTATTCACTTAAGTTCTGCTGTTGAAATATATATGATGTCGAGAATTGTATTACTAACTGTTTAGTAATACAATTCCAAGTGTCATAGGCATTTGTTGGCTTGGGGCCATACTTAGATAATATAGAGAATATCATGTTCTGAGCATAGTGAATGGTGCTTTGTCGCTTTATGAATATACAAGGGGGGGTGTTTCCTGTCCTTTTTGCCCCTGTTGCCTTGTTGGTTGCCCACCTGCCTGCAGTGCCACTTCCAATGGCTACCTGTCTCATGAGGCGGTGGCCCCACTGTCCCCTCTGACTGTCTGGCACACATGGTGGTTAGCAGAAGGACATCCCCCTCCCATTTACACCTAGTCCCATTCTCTGCAGGGGCCAGGTTCAGAAGTAGACATATGATTAAGTGCATTTGTAGTTCTTTACAACCACTGCTGTGGTAATCCCTCTCAATTAGCTCCAGGTTGCAAGTAGCCTGAGCTCCTTACTGAGAACTTGAAATGAAGGACTTTCTGGCTCATGTTCTTAGCCACTGGCCTCTTCAAGTGCTTAAAAGGCTACATTAAGGATTTAAGCTTGCATATGTACAACTCAACAAAACCTCAATCTTTCAGTTCCTTTCTAAACTCGATAATTCTCTTACAGATGCAGTTGATGGCGTGACAAATGGTGATATCTACCAGGTAAAAGGAAGTAAAAATGGATTTTAAGGGGATTTAATTCTGGTTTGCATGCTGAATTTGCCTGTGTTTTTTGTTGTAACCTGCCTTGGATCCTCTGGGGGCCAGGTATTGGTTCGATAAATAAATCATGTGCTATTCAGGAGCAGGCAGGGCATGAACCCCAGTGTTGGAGCCGGCTGGTATGGTAAAGTTCAGCTTGACAACTAATTTAAGAGGGTCAGGTGTGAAAAATGGAGTCTCAGGGTGGCATGCATGGCTCATCCCCATGATATCTTTGCAACAACTCTGCGTAGCAACTCAGTGCAGGATATTGAGTGGAGAGTAGGGGTTGCCAGCAGACCTGGAGGAAATTGTCCTGTCCCTTTAATAGAGGCTTAACGTGTAGTAATGGGCAGCAGAAACCTTTCATGGACTATAGGTATATAATGCTGCTTTTAGAAATGTACTGTTTCCTGAAAAAATGGAAAAACTCTTTTTTTGGGGGGGGAGTGGAAATTGGGGGGGGCGACATTAAAATATAGGCAGTATTTTCCTCTCAAACCTAAACTCTTTTACTGAAATAACATAAAATGCATCAGTACATTTAACACAAAATTATACTATTTGGAGTATTTATGGAATTTAAAAGTATAAGTGTGCCTTTTCAGATAGAATATGAAGACATATACCTAGCGCTTGAGAAATAGTTGCAAACTGCTGCGTTGTGCTATCATAGCACATGTATTTCAGTGTTTACCATCTGAGAGGTGGGAAAAATATAACTTGCACATAGTAAACAACATAAATTGAGTTATTTGGATAGAAACACTCTCATACAACCATAATAAGTAGGATATCCAGCATGTTTGTATATTAAGTTAAACTCCCTAACATTGAAAACACGTCACTATTTAATGTACTATCATTAAACACATAGCATAGTAATTGTTGCCAAAATTATTATTTTTAAACAAAAATTCTTGAATATGTTGGGTATGTCTATGGTATACGCAAGAATTAGTATTATCAAATGCTGTAGCTTCTTACATATTTTCATACTACACATTTTGAGTAAAACCTTGTCTTTTGTTTCAAAAAGGGAAAGAAAAACAGTTTTTTAGTGCTCCCTCAGTTTCTCCAGTTTTTCCCAATGGAAAAATTGAAAATTCCTTTTGATAGAAGGAGGTTTTATCCTGTCCTTTCCAGGTCTTCTAATCTGTTGTCCCATCAAGCCTTTACTAAAGGGACAGGACACTTTTTCTCCTGGCAATTGGCTTCCCTAGTCTGAGGTTGCAGCTCCTAGGCTTTAAGGGAATCTGCTGAGACCCATGGCTATTTGTATAACATCATGGTCTGTTGTGTTTTCTTGGAGTATTAGAATATTGACTTCCGAGCTGTGTTCGTAAAGTCCCACTGGGGGATTCCTTGGTTAGAAGGTTGGTTTGGCCTAGTAATGATGGACAAGCTTTTGTGCAGGACTGCTGCCCGTTACAGGCTTTCTGGATTCCCCCCCCCCTTTGGGTGCAAGACAAATACATCAGTGAACAGATGGGTGCTGTGAACATGCTAACAGCTTACATTGCCTTGGGGAATCTTATTTGCCTGCCAAATATCTCTACCCCTGCTCAGTACTGCCATATGTTTCTTCCTTGATTTTGATTTCCAAAGTGCTGTTTCTGGGCTTTGCATGTCTTTTTGAAGTGAAAGGGCACCGCTGCTCCAGTATGAAGGTTGCTGCTCTTGATTCTTCCCCCTCCGCCGACAGATTAACTTTCATGACCCATAGTGGCAAGGGCTCAGTACAAGCATTCTTACCCCCCACCCCCCAGTCTAGCTATGTTGCTTCTGATACTCGTGATACTGAAATGTGGTTTGGGATCCCTGGCTTTTTCACTGCCTGGACTGGCAGCCAGGTTTGGCTTCTAGGAAGTGGGCCGATTGCTTAAGAGTGCCTTGAATATCAGTCAGCTGCCTTGTTCCTGTTTTACATCCTAAATTTTTGGGTGTATTTCCTCATGTCTGCTTGCTTTGCAGCTGACTGATATTCAAGGCACTGCCCTATATTATTCATTGTCTTGTATTCAATCCTGTCCCACCCATTAAATCCTTATTGTTGTATTCTCTGCTTATTGTTAAACTGGTTTCACCTACTGTAGCGCCCCCTGAAGCAGAGCTGAACTGTGCCCGTTGATGACTCTAATAGGCTTGCTGTCTCTCTGTGCTTAAGGAGAGCAACGGTCCAACAGACTGTTACAGTGCGATTTCGCAAGCTGATCGTCTGCAGACAGAACCGGAGAGCATCCGCAAATGGAGAGAAGAACAACTGGAGCGCCTAGAAGTTCTCGGTGAGAAAGAGCGGAGGGTCTTGATCAGCAACTAATCATTAAAGGGGCCCCACATGTACAACTTGGCAAGCTGTGAGGGGTCAGCTCCAGTGGCTCTGCCACTGGATTTGCTAACTGTGAGCCAAGATACCGAGAAGTCTGCCCTTAGCTGTCCCTGAGTCATACGGTGTGGTTCTGTTGCTTCGGACTGGAGCTGGTGCAGTATTAACTGGTTTTCTGTTTCTTTTAAAACGCCCTTCATTGCTCTGTGTATTTACTTTGGAAAGCATCTCGTATGAGAGCCTTCCCCCCCCCCCCACTCCATTGTGACTAGCAACATGAGATTTGGCAGAGACCTTCTTCTTAGCTCTGTCTTCACTAACATAGGAGTGAGCAGTTGAGGCCTATGTGAAAAATCGGACAGAACCTCCGTTCCTACTATGAAGGACATTCAAAAGTCTTCAGTATCTGTCTTGCATACGTGGCTCTGTGTTTAAAAGTCTTTGGAACTTGGGGTTATGCTGGTACTCTGGGGCTAATCCTTTGTTTTTGGCCTCAGGATCCTGCAGATGAATTTAATCAATTTTTCTGCTATTGAAGTACACATGGTCAAGCATCACAGGCTTGGGAGCAACTTTTGGAGTTGGTGGTGGCTCCATCCCAGCAGCGGCCTTCAGTAATGATGCTTAAGACACCTGCATTCCACATGAAACAGCTCAGTTTATTGATACGGCCCAAGATCAGCACAAGTCACATGCCGTGTTCCCTCTAAGCTGAGTTACTGTGAGCTAGCTCAGTTTTTTAGCCTCTGGCACACACCTTTTTGTCTTAGCTCAGGAAGGATGGCTCCAGAGCAAATTAATTTATGCAGTAGTCAAATCACTTGCTCACAACTTTAATGCCAGTAGCTCACAAAGTAGAATTCTTGCTCACAAGACTCCACAGTTTAGAGGGAGCATTGGTCACATGAAAACAGTACAGATGGATTATAAATGAATTACAGGGAACTAGTCCATGTGTCATGATCCTGGGCCTGTGGTGGTACGGCCTACAGGCTCTAGAGAGGCCTGTATTGGAGTAGCTGTCAGGGCCTATATTTCCCAGGTTCCCTTTGGACCCTGTGATTGGTTAACGGGATTTTGGAGGGAAAACTACACCAGCAGGGGGGAGTAGAGGGGAAGAGAGAAAAGGCCTTGCCCAAAGTGGGAGGGGGTTCTCTCTCAGGGAGCAGGGCTAGTGAGGCTGCGGCAGAAGGAGGACTCTGTGGACTGGGCTGTGCATAAACAGCTTTAATGGAGTGGTGGGGGGAGGCTGAAAAAAGAACAGTCACCCCCTCACTGGGTCATCTTGCATGGTTTAAGCCAGTCCACGGGATAAAGTTATTGAATGCTTCCATTTTGCTGCTCCAGTGGCTTCCAACTTCATTGCCACCCCCTGGGTAGCAAACTGGGTGGCTTCTCTCTCCCTCTGGAGGCGCTCCACCTTCAAGCATGTCTTTCAGCGCTTAGATTCCTTGCACCTGAGGAATCTCTCTTTTGACCGAATGCTTGCCTTTAAACAGCACTCTCATCTGTTTCTTCAGATGCAAACTCTCGAAAACAAGAAGGAGAATGGAAAGAGAAGGCAATAAAAGAGTTGGAAGAATGGTATGCGAGACAGGATGAACAGCTACAGAAAACAAAAGCTAACAATAGGTAAGGCGAGTTTGCAGGAGTTTGTGCCCTCTTGGAATTTACTGAAGAATTTACTGGTTGAAGATTAGCTAGTGGTTTGTGGGCTTTCTCTCCAGCACTCAGCCTTAAATTGGAGCCAGCCCTAGAAACACACATCCTTCCTTTTTCCATCTCTGCTCTGAATTACCCCTTTGCCTTGCAAGGGAAACCATGGCTAAAGTCAACCTCTGCACTGATGGTAGCCCCTGGTTAAAGTTAACCAGGGTTCCACTTACTCTGGATTTCTAGTTCTGGTCTGTTTGCCAATGGTGTAGTACTAAAGCACTTAAAGAGCTGACACTGGGGGGAGGCAAATTTGCTGTAGAGAAGGAAGGTGAGGAAAAAGTGAGTGGTGTGGAGGCTGGCTACTGAAACCTACATCCCGATTTGTAGGGGAGCAGCATTGTATCTAAACCAATGCTTGTTGTTCAAAGAAGTGGGCTCCAAGTTTATGCCAGAGTATAAACTTACTCTGTTGCAGAACAAACACACAAAAGTCTTGTGGCACTTTAAAGACTAATACAGCTACCCCTCTGGAATGAATTGTTATCTAAATTCTTAGTGGTAATTCCAGGAAAAGACCTGAGGTAAGGCAATCTAGTGAATCTTGTAACTTTTGTTCGTTTCTCCTAAATTGATAATTAATACATTAATAGGGGAAAGGCTGTGGTTCCATGGCAGAGCATCTGGTTTTCATGCAGAGGGTCTCAGGTTCAAATCCCCAGTGTCTCTAGTTTAAAGGGATCGTGGAGGAGGTAATGTTGAAAGGCCTCTACTTGAGAATTTGGAGAGCTGTGGCTCTTTAGAATAGACCATACTGACCTTGATGAACCAAGGGTCTGATTCCGTATAAGGCACATTCATGTGTTCAGTATGAAATGCTAGTAACTGGAGCCACTTCACATAATACAGTGCTCCTGTTGGAAAGGAATACTAGAGAATTGCATCTCCCTGTTGTAAGTAGACATAACAAGATGAGCACCTGATCCTCAGCTGGATTACTGAAATCAAGGCCTATCGGCTCTGGTTCTGCAGCAGCTGAAAAGGTCTGGAAAGGGAAAAGGCAGCCTTTGCCGACCACATTTGAGGTGGCAGGCTTTTACGTCCCCGCCAGTGGGTTGCATTGGGTTACTAAGAACTGTAGGCCCAGGCAGGCTTCGGGCTGGTTTTTCAAAGCATCTGCCTTCCATGCTGTACAGTGAACCACATTTGAAAATGGTTTTGTGCTGTCGCATGGCAAAGTCTACAGTTAAAGAGAAGAGGGACAGGGAATCCAAATCCCCACTGAGAGTAGCTGAGTTCCTAGGTATGCCTTGGGTGCTGATCTCTACTGAACTTGGGAGAACAAAATTTGAGTTCGGTAGCACCCTAAAGACCAACAAAATGCTCCCGGGTATAAGCTTTCATGAGTTCAAGCTTACTTTGGCAGTGAGTTGGGAGCTGGTCTTCCCCTTAAACGGCATGCCTGAAACAATGTATATGGAGGGTTACAAGCTAGGCCTCTAGCAAAGGTTTCAGCTGCTTTGAGTGTCCTGCACTGGTAGCAATGGTTGAATATCAATACAACTGGCAGACTTTCTGGAACTGTGAGACTCCCGTAGAAATAGCAGCCACTCGTGGCAGAGGTCCAGTACAGAACGGAGGACGTTTTAAGGCTCTCAGTGCATATAGTCGCTATGTACTATTGTGTTTCCTTGCTCCATTTACTTTACCTGGAAGGGGATATTCTTCTTGGAAATTGAACTTTCTGTCGCTTGCCTCATGTGGTCTCTTGTAATAGCCCTGTGGTATTACGAGATGTCTGTCCCCACAGTAATTGAATTCCTAAAAATCATAAAGGAAAGGAAGCCCATTCGAAAATTCTATTTTCCTTTGTGTGCTTAAGGTAAGCTCCACGGAGTAAGGGTGCATAGGACCGCAGCCTAGTATGTGCAGAGGCATTGTCTGCTTTATTCAGTAGAAGATTGGTGTCCTCCTCTCTTATCACCCCCTCCCCGAATTCCAAAGAGCTAAATGATCTTTGATCATAAGAGGCTGTTGGATAGGTAGAAACATCGTTTTTCCCTATGGAAATCTGGAGGATCTCCCTGGGAAAACAATTGTTTTCTCCTGTTTGAATCCTCCTCTCCTTCAAAGGGGCTCAGCTTGCCTCCTTTCATAGTTGCAACTACCCTGTGTGGTTGGTTAAACTTAATTTTCCTTACATTCAGTGAGCTTCATAACTAAATTAGAATTTGAACTCTGGTGCTCTGAGTCCTTAAGCTCCATCCACTGCAGTAGTATGTGAGATGGAGGTCAAGTGGTGACTAGGAAGCGTCTGAGCATGTCCTTATTCCTTGCTTTCAACTCAGCCAGGGACGTGTGATTCCAACTATTAAACTGCTTTCTGAAGTGAACCCGTCCCGTAGTGTTGAGGAAATGACTATCAAAGTGAAGTATTCTGTCCTTCGGTTACTGACAGTTGCTGTACACTCCAGGCAGGAATCAAAGCTGCTTCTTACTTGGCTCAGTTTCATGTAGTATTGCGGTTACAAACCTTGTGAGGAATCGCCAGAAGGGAGGACATGGCTGGGGGCACTGCATTGGCTCCTTTTTAACTAGCACCCTGCAGTTCACACACAGGGACAAGGATGATGTTGACTGCTTATTACCCTGGTTAGAAAATTCGGAAGCCAGCCTGATGGGCCTCAGCTCCCTCCTTCAACTGTTCCATTTATGGGCTCTCAGAGCGATTTCCCCCTTCCCTCTCAGCACAAACCATGGCCACCAGTGTAAAACCATGACAATGCAAACCAGGTGCCCTCATAACCATGGTTTACAGGCTCTCTTCAGGCATGGTTACAGTCTCTGGCTCACAGAGGTTTGTGTTGGCACCCAGAGCCATGACATATACCTGGAGGGGCTGAGAATGTAGGTTTTGTGTAGGTTTGCCAGCAAGCCTGGGGACATTGCCCTGTCCCTCTGATAGAGGTTCAGTGTGTGTGGTAATGGTCAGCTGAAGTTCTTCGGCACTGGAGGTAAATAGCATTCCATTAAAAAGTACATAACATGTTTTCTCCAGGCATTTGGCCACCATAGTTTTATATGGCTAGCAGCCCAAGTAGCCCAGCTTGGCCCAGGTTCATCAGAGCTTGGAAGCTAAGCAAGGTTGGCTGTGGTCAGTACTTGGAATGGGAGACCACCAAGGAAGACTGGGGTTGCTGTGCAGAGGAAAGTGATGGCAAACCACCTCTTGCCTGGAACACGCGGTGGATGGGGGTCACCATGAGCCAGTTGCAGCTCAGTGGCACCTTCTTCTTCCAGTTTGCAAACACTTGTTCTCAGTGAACCAACATCACATCCGCTGTGGGCCATAGTGCCCCCTAACTATGTAGCTGGGCGACTTTAACCTTCTTCTTAAAGATGCTATTCTTGTCTGGGAATTTAGCTTAAGATCTTTCTGATCCAATCTAACTTGTTGCCTGCTTGACATGTGAAACCTAACACTACCTCTGCTGTGTTTCCTGCTGCTCATTCTTCTTTTTTTCCCTCCTGTCTGCTTGCCGCCTCTATGGACCACTTGCTACCTAGGGTGGCAGATGAAGCTTTCTACAAACAACCCTCCGCTGACGTGATTGGTTATGTGTATGTTGCCTAACTACTGCTCACTTGTCTGGTCCATTATCTGTCAAATTCCGTTAATGTTTCTGATCTGTAAGGCTTGCTGGGGGCAGGGTCCTAAGATAAGCATGTTGTGCAGATGGGGGGAGGGATTTCTCTGCATTAGAGTGTATTTCAAGGAAGCATTTTCCAAGTTAGGGAAGGGCAGACAGATTTCATCCATAGTAAAAAAAAAAAAAAAAAGTGTGTTGATGGTAGTGAAAAGGGATCTTGGGGCCAGCTGGAAGCCTGCCGCCCCCATGAGTAAATTTGTGACTCTAGTATACTGTGACTAAAATCTGAAAGGATGTCTAAAGGACCTGACCCGGACAGCCTAGGGTAGCCTAATATTGTGAGACCTCGGAAGCTCAGCAGGATTGGTCCTGGTTAGTACTTGGATGAGAGACCAGCAAGGAAGTCCAAGAGGCAGGCAATGGCAGACCACCTCTTTTAGCATCTGCCTTGAGAACCATATGGGGTCGCACTTGAAGGCATTTTCCACAGCCATGCTAAAGGAAGAAAACACTTCAGAAGTTGGGCCATTTACTTTCTTTTGGCTTTTTAAAACTTGATTGTAGATCCTTTTGGCTTGCAATGAAAGTGTGATGGTGTATCAAAACACACGTCTGGCCCCCAGACCGTTGTCTAGTGAATAGCATATAGCTCCTCTACAACGTTGGAAGTTGACCATCCTTGTGGCAGTCAGAACACAGTAGCAGAAACAGCTCACCTTAAGTCATTGTTGTAAGCAGAGGTCTGCCCAAAAGGAAGCTCCTCCCCCAAGTCCCATTGCAAAGGAAATGCTGAAGTAGAGGAACTGAGAATGGAAAAAAGTGTGCTTGGGGTTTTCTGAAATGCTTTAAGTAGCTGGATGTCCACGAACCTAGCAGTCAAATCTGGCCAAGGTTCTTAATTTGATTCCCACTGACTGGGTGCTGCCTTGCAGTGGTAAAAAATCTGGCCATGAGAGCTATGTCCAAGGAGCACCAAAAGCGACAGTTCTTCCTGTAAATCTGAAGGTTCTATGTTAGTTTTCCCCGTGCTGATTTTGAGCTGTGGTCAGGAGTGGGGAGGGAGGAAATCAGTTCTCAAACAAATACTCCAGCTGCAGGAAGGCGTGCCTCACGTCATACTGCTTTATGGCCTGTCTCTGTGCCTCTGGGAGTGCCCTGTGGCACCAACTGGAGAGGCCCGTGGTTTTTGCATGCCTGTTTCCGTTCTTGTAGAACTAGGCAGGGCCTTGTAGGCCAAGGGAGCTGGTATTAAAGCTCTCCCCTCTGCAAGCAGGATTCTTTTAAGTTGCTGCCAACCAGGACTTGTGAAATGCTGGATTTACAGGTGGCATTTGCCCTTGCCTTTTTTTTGTCTTCGAAGCTGACGTTGAGAGACTCCCAACTGAATATTTTCTGGAAGGGGGGAGGAGGAGTTGCGATCTGCAGTTCAGCAGCTGCAAATTGAAATGGGCAGCATGTGTCCCGAATGTAGACAGTGCTACAAAGTGCATGTCCGGCCAGCTTTACTTACCATCTGCATTATGCTCATTTTCATCTTCTATATCTGACTTAAACTCTCCTTTTTTTTGTTTCTTTTCTTCTCTCCACCTTTAAGCACAAACATAAACCATCCTTGCTACAGCCTAGAACAGTTAAGTAAACTCTTCACTGCCCCTTAAGTGTCTTGTCACATGAAACAGCAGTGTCGTAGTGACCCTCATCATCAGTGGTGTTTGTAAAAATACGACCATCCTTTGTGATCAGTGCTTTAAACCTCATGAGATCATCCTCATTGCTTTTTCTGTACTGCTTGTTGGAGTAGACGAAGGCTTCCGCCCCTCCCCGTCCCCGGCTTCATTAGGGGTGCTTGCGGCTTCTGCAGTCTGTGTGGGTACCGGGGGCTTCGGTTACTCCTGTGCTTATGCAGTATTGCCGGCAGTGCACCAGTGCTGGAAGGATAACGTGGATGCTTTACGGAGATGCCCACGGAGTGCCCTGTTCCCGGATGGAACGAGCAGGCCCACGTTATCCTTTGAGCTTGACGTCCCATTGATTTCCCTGCTCCAGCCTAGACAGTGCAAGTCCATAGCGCATACAAGCATGAGGGCTATGACTTACAAAGCTCTTCCACTGATTCACTCTGCTTCTCCACTGCCTTGAAAATCATTGTCATGGTCTCACGTGAGGGCTCGCGAGCCTCAGAAGAGAGCTTCCGAAAGTAATGCCAGGCCCCCAGTGCATGCTTCCCAGTCCGGATGGTTAGCTTCTGCTTGGTCTAGATCCATCCCTTGTGTCCTATACAGATACCTGAGGGTGGGGTGATAATGATCTTGCATGCCTGAATGACATGTCCCATGTTTTCATTTTGGGCTATGCCCTTGGAGGCTCCTCTGGCAATTCTAGTCCCAACACCTTGCTGCATAACCCTCAGATGTCTGCATAGGGCATTGGTGTGGCTGTTTTCAGGCTCTCTGAAGTAACCTGGACATCTTGTTTATACACCACAGGCCAATTGAGGTACTACTTGAACCAGACACCTGTATTCCACCATTTTACATAGCTCAAGTGAGCCCAGCTGCTACCACTTCTTCCTCCATCAGGAAGCTCTGGGTTAGGAGGTCTGGGAAGTCTAGAAAACACTTCTAGATTCTCTCCCCCCCCCCCCCCCCCCCATGGAACTTTTAAAATAAAAGGAAGCAAGGGAGCACTCAGGATTGGGTGGGGGCAAAGTACGCTACTGAAACTGAACATGGTGTCGCATTGCTTTTAGGGCAGCTGAAGAAGCCTTTGTGAACGATGTTGACGAGTCCTCCCCGGGCACCGAGTGGGAACGCGTGGCTCGGCTCTGTGACTTTAACCCCAAGTCGAGTAAGCAGGCGAAGGATGTCTCCCGCATGCGCTCCGTGCTGATTTCGCTCAAGCAGGCTCCGCTGGTTCGCTGAAGGGGGGAGAGGAAAGCACACGAGACACTACAAATGCAATACCTTTACTCAGAGAAGCTGTGTTTGCAGTAATTGGATTAATTATGTTTCAATGTTCTTTTGGACCAAACCTCATGATGTATTTAGAGTTTGATCATTGTTTGTGATTGCATGTTCTTCTCTCCATATGTGTCCTTCCAGTGTTCCAACTGGGGGGGAACTTCCAGGATTGTAATCTCAGTGCACTCACGCAGCTGAGATTCCATTTTCAGCTGTAATGATATTAAAAGCCTGTTTAAACAGCTCTTTTTTTTGTGTGTGGGGCTAAATAAACAAAAGCAGCTTTCCACTCCTAAAAGATGTAGGTTATGTGCCAGTATGTTCAAAGGTGGCCTGTACACTTGTCCGTATGAATTTTTCTCACTTGCATAAAGGGATTCCTGAAATAGTTCAGTTTTATTGACGATGGAGTGTCTCGTGAAGGTAATCTTTTAGCCATATTGATGGCCCCTACACACAACTACAGGACAAAATCTCTTTACATCCCAATCAGTGCACCCCCTTTGCCCCTACCTGCTCTGTTGTCATTGCTGGAGGCTTCTTTCTTACACCTGTAGCTTCAGCAGGCGATGCTCTAGCCACTTGACTAAGGCAGATGGTTGAGGGAGGGAGGACGCACCCACCTCCATCTGTTGGCTTAATCTGGAGCGGAATTGTCTGTGGATACAGAGGAGGGAATAAAATGCAGACCAAGCAAATTGTAAGTAGGTGCAGGGAGAATAAGGTTAAAAACCCATGGAACTGCAGGAGGTGTGTGCTGTAATGTGCTGGGAAATCGATGGCTTCTTTAAGCATAGGGTTGGTAAAGCCAAGGCTGGTGGCTTCTTCCACTCTTATGAGTGGCACAAGGGGGAATTTCTCCAACACCACCTATGCAGTTTCCCCTGAACCCGCCTCACCTGTTCTTGATACAGATAGCGATGCCTATGGTATAACTCCTCTTCCCTGCAGTGGACTCAGGGGTCTCTGGAGAGGAGGCAAATTAAGCTTCCAGTGACTCAGTGGAGCAGTTAGTGTAGATTAGCAGTGTGTCACACAAGGGGCAGGGAGACCTGGGTTCTTGGCTTTGAAGCTCCCTGGATGATCTTGGACTCCTTACTCTCAGCCTAGCATCTCTTTCGGTACTAGGACAAACAGAATTGTGAATGCTGCCCCTCGATCCTTGCCTAAAAGACAAGAGCAAGGATGGGATTGTGAATGCTGCCCTGTTCTTGTCTTACATTTGCTGAGGAAGCTGAGTGGTTTCTGTGCCAGTGGCTCATTTCCCCTCGTGTCCCAGAATCTCTCGTTTAGATAAATGGGGTCCTAGTGACTATCTCCCGGATGCAGCCTAGGAGTGCCTCCTAGCTAGTTCAGTCTGCTTGAACAGGAGGATGGTTGGGGTCTGTCAAAGGCTTCTCGTGGGATATCGTGTTTTCTTTGCTCTGACAAGGGGGAATGTTCCCACAGAAGAGTTCACTCATGGCTGTGTCCGGTGGCACACCCAACAGCCATTCTGGCATTGAAAGGAGTGGGGCGATGCAGCTATGTTGGGGCACCACCCTGAAGAATGGAGCATCTAGACGGTTCCCAAGATGCCTGCTACCAGAAGACTCTGGCTTGTGGGGTGACTCTGGCCTACCATAAGCCAGCGGTCCTTCTCCCCCACTGAAGGAAGCAAACTGCACCCAGAAGTCTGTAACTGGATCCAGCAGGAAACAGTCCCAGCCATCCCTAATCATGTACTTCCGTCTACGTTCTGTGACCTCATCCCTGCCTTGATCACAGGGCCAGCTAGGAAACGAATCCTAAGGAAAAGGCTAAAATGCGTGATAGAGTGCAGGTCAAGCCCAAGCCAGATGTGCTTTTGGGAATCCTCTTGCTACAGCTTGCCTCCCCCATCCAAATATGAGGATTTCAACTCAGATCATAAGGAAGCTATTGGGTTGAGTGGGAATGACTGAAGCTTTTCTTCAGCCATCTGTCAGGGAGAGGGGGGGGAAGAGCTGGGAAGAACTAGCTGAACTCTCATTATCCACTTGGTTCAATGAGGATTTTCAGTCTTTATAACCGAAGCCACCTTGGATGAGTCTTGGAGCACTCTAAAGATCTGACTCTTGCCTGTAAACTAACATTGCCAGATTGGTCTTGCCAACATCTGCATGCAGTACCAACAGCCACTGCCTTTCTTGGTAAAAACCTGCCCTAGCTTGCTATTGTCTGCTATAGGGGGTTGTGCGGCAGACTGGTTTCTTAGGCAAGACATTCCTTCACAGGTACACTATAGCATACCTACAGCTCTGAAAATGTAGATGCTAATTAAGTTTTGTTTTCCAACCGCTTCTCGGCAGAATAAGCTCTGTGGGGAATCCCTCGATCCAGCTATCAAAACAAAAGATTGCATTCCTATGTATAATCCAGTGGTTGTAAACAGTGCAAACTACCATGGCTCAGAAAGGATAGATTCTCACCCCCCTCCTTCAGTAATACTAGAATTGAATGCAACAGAATTTTGCAAGGATGTGTATAATCCTACAGCTTTTCTACCAAATACGGGAATGGTTCCTATCACTTGAAAATCGTTTCAAGAATTATCGCTTTGTTCCTAGAGGAGGTCTTTCTCCAGACTTTGAAAAACAACTTTTTTTGTCCTACCCACCTTCAACCATCTGTCAGGTAGTCTAGAAATCAGAGGGTGCATCATTGCTGCAGACGTTCTTGGATAATGACTTGCTGTTCTTCGCTGTTTGTAAAAACAGTCGGATTTAAGAGCCATCCTCAACTTGCATTACCTCCAGCCCAGGAAATTCCATATGGAGATACTGAGCTGCTTTGTGGATAACTGGGGAGGAGGGAGGCACTTCCCTGGCCTCAAGGAGCTCTCATAAGCTTACCTGGTATGTTCTAGTATTCTGGCATGCTGAATGTTCTCAGTTTCTTTACTGGGACAGGTATTACCAAGTCGTGTCCTTCCCTTTTGGCTGGTCTTATTTACAAGAACAGCATTCCCAAAACTCATGGGGTTGCATCCCAGGATTTCCTCCTGCTAACTGAGCAGTCTTGCTGAGAAAAGTGATTCTTCCATGGTAGACAGACTCCCTCTGTTGGAACAAGACCCCCCTCTTAGTAGGAAAAAGTTCCTGGATGCACCCTATGGTTGTTCCTAGTGGGTCAACTTATGCTCTGTGTGATTGTCTGTTTCTCCTTGGACAGCGTTGTCCTCACCGTACCAGTATCATAGTGAGTTGCTCCAGTGAATGGCTGCCTCATTGGTGAGTCATACTAGCTACAGTGCATCCCTTGGCTGAGAGTAATCACTGATGAAAGGCAATTGTACTCTAGTTTGCTCTAGGAAAAAGGTGTCGACCCAAGTGTGAGAGTTTACTGAGATCAAATCTAGTCAGTTTCTTCCCATTCCTGGGTCACCTTATCACACTAGTAATGCTGTTTTACCTACTAGTAACTTGTTTAAAGGGAGACTGCCAGGCTAGAACTTCAGGGACAAACCAAAAGAAATATCCTGCCCATAATATAGGTTAAAATGATCAAATAAGTAACATGGCCTTATTTGGGTATAGGTTGTAATTGTGATCTCAAACCTCAAGAGTTTGGCTCCTGGGCAAATACGGTGGTTTCATACCTAAAATGTCTGAAAATCCTTAATCTGGGAGAGGGAGAGGTTGTGAGAATATATATCAGTCACTTCTGAATGCAGACAAAAATGATCACTGTACAATACTATAGTGTAACCCTGGTAACTGTGTTGATCTAAATCTACATCAATATTTTAGTTTGCTTTAGGGTTGCCAGCCTCCAGGTGGGACCTGGGGATCTCCCGCTTTTACAACTGATCCCCAGCCGAAAGAGATCAGCTCCCCTGGAGAAAATGGCTGCTTTGGAGGGTGAACTCAATGGCATTGTACTGTGCTGAGGCCCCTCCCCTCCCCAAACCCCGCCATCTCTTGGCTCCACCCCCAAAGTCTCCAGATATTTTCCAAACCAGACTTGGCAACCCTAGTTTGCTTAGAAATTTAGGTTAAAATAACATTTCTTTTGCTGTTGATCATGGCTATAGGGGTACTCCAGCAGTGGAATTTTGATTTAAAACATTTAATAATCTGGAGTATCTATTCTTTAACCTACTTAATTGAGGTCTTGCTGAAACTTTTTTTCTTGATCTAATTTTTAAATGATTTAATTGTTAAGAAATCATTGTTGTTTTCATTGTAATTGGTGTATATCAAACTCTTCAGTAAAATGTTTGAAACTTATAATTCGTCTGATTTGTGACTGGAAGTACTCTGTGAGTGCGGATCCACTGGAGACGCACTGCTGTACCTGAATCACTGGTGGCCCTAAAAATTAATATTTTAAGAAAACAAACTTCACATTAATAATGAGGTGAAATCATCCTCTCTCACTGGACAAGAGAAACATTAGAGAATGCAGCAGATTATGTCCCAGTAATTCAACCAATTTTGTTTCTAGTCTTTATAAGTACTCAGCACTGTAATATTTTCTCATTACAGGAGATAAGACTGTGTGAAGTTGGGCGATGATTAATATGGCACTCAATGGGCCACTTCAGAACAAGGAGTTTAATGGTTTGCTACTAAAAATTATAGAAACACTAAAGTTGACCTAGACAGTTGTAAGGAAAGAACATGGCTATAAAAGCAAGAATTTGCCCACATTTTGAACAGTGTGCAGTAATTAAAAGTGGACCAAAAGGGGGGGGGGACCCTACGAAGGTGTCCCTACTAAATTTGGTATGAAAAGGAATTTTCAGCAAGCTCTTATTTACTGCTCAAACAGGACAACAGCAGACATTCAAGCAACAATATGACCCCTCTTGGTAAGAAGCTGCCTTCAATGGGAATGTCTGAGATCACCGTTCCTCACTTAGATTGGTCTGAAGCAGCAGAACAAAGGAGTCCATGACACCTTTTAAGACCAACAGTTTTACTTCATGCATGCACACGAAAGCTTATACCTTGAATAAAAATTTGGCTGGTCTTCAAGGTGTCACTGGATTCAAATTTTGTTCTGTTCCTAACTTAGATCCTAACATCTGAATAACAGACTTCCTTACAGTAGCTGTTTTTATCTTTAAATCCAAGCACAACATTGCCCTCTGTCGGTGGGTATATTTGTCTCAGTCACTTTGCTGTGCTTCAGGCGTATTATGACATATGTACCCAAGTAGGATGTTTGAGATGTCACCAGTGCAGCATTCCCTCTAAGCTGAGTTAGTGTGAGCAAGCTCAGTTTTTTAGCCTCCGGCTCACATATTTTTGTCTTAGCTCAGGGAGGATGACTCCAGAGCAAAGTAATTTATGCAGTAGCCAAATCGCTCGCTCACAACTTTAATGCCAGTAGCTCACAAAGTAGAATTTTTGCTCACAAGACTCCAGAGCTTAGAGGGAGCATTGCATCAGTGATAGAGGGAAAGGCGGACCATGGAACGTTCAGAGGGTCCATAAAACTAACCTACCCCCCAAGATAGCCACAACTTCCCACCCTCTACTACAACTGGAACAAAAGGAGTGGTGCTGCTGGGTAAGATCAGTGGTCTATCTAGTCCAGCATCCTGTCTCACACAGTGACCAACCAGGGGCCAAAGGCCGAGGCCTTCTCCTGATGTTGCCTCCAGGCTCTGGGATTCAGAGGATTAGTGCCTCTGAATGGGGAGGTTCCCCTCAGTCACCATGGCTCGTAGCCACTGATAAGACTTATCCTCCATGAAGCTCCCTAATCCCCCTTTAAAGCTCTTCACGTATATGGCCATCACTCCGTCCTCTGGCAGCGAATTCCACATTTTAATCACTCTGTGTAAAGTAACATTTCCTTTGTCCATCCTGAGCCTACGGCCCATCAGTTTTGCTGGATGCCCTCAAATTCCAGTATTTTGGGAGAGGGAGAAAAATTTCTGTCAGCTCTCCATCCCATGCATGATTTTATAAATCTCTATCATGTCCCACCCCCACCCCCCCAGTCCTCTCTTTTATAAACACAGCGGTGAACCCTGGAGTACCAACAAACGGCATAGGAATCCAAGGCCTTCCCCTCATGTTGCCTCTTGGCATTGGTGTTGAGAGGTTTATTACCTCTGAATATGAAGATTCCCTTTAGTCAGCATGCCGAGTATCCACTGATAAGACCTGTTCTCCCTGAATCTCCAGTCCTGTGGCAGGGTGGTGGAGGGTGGTAAGCCGTGGGGTACCGCAGGGATCAGTACTCGGTCCAATGCTTTTTAACTTGTTCATTAATGATTTGGAGTTGGGAGTAAGCAGTGAAGTGGCTAAATTTGCGGATGATACGAAGTTGTTCAGGGTGGTGAAAACCAGTGAGGATTGTGAGGCACTCCAAAGGGATCTGTCGAGGATGGGCGAGTGGACGTCAACATGGCAAATGGGGTTCAGTGTGGCCAAGTGCAAGGTGATGCACGTTGGAGCCAAAAATCCTAACTATAAATACAAGTTGATGGGGTCCGAACTGGCAGAGAGTGACCGAGAGAGAGATCTTGGAATTGTAGTAGGAAACTCACTGAAAATGTTGAGACAGTGTGTGACTGCAATAAAAAAGGCCAATGCTATGCTATGCTGGGGATTATTAGGAAGGGAACTGAAAACAAATCAGCCAGTATAATAATGCCCCTGTATAAATCAATGGTGCAACCTCATTTGGAGCACTGTGTACAGTTCTGGTCACCACACCTTAAAAGGATATTATAGCTTTGGAAAAAGTGCAGAAAAGGGCAAATAGAATGATAAAAGGGTTGGAACACTTTCCCTATGAAGAAAGGTTAAAGAACTTGGGGCTAATGAGCTTAGAAAAATGATGTCTGAGGGGTGACATGATCGAGGTTTATAAGATTATGCATGGGATAGAGCAGGTAGAGAAAGAGGTACTTTTCTCCCTTTCTCACAATACAAGAACTCGTGGGCACTCAAACTGCTGAGCGGTCAAGTTAGAACAGATAAAAGGAAGTACTTCTTCACCCAAAGAGTGATTAACACATGGAATTCACTGCCACAGGAGGTGGTGGCGGCTACAAGCATGGACGGCTTCAAGAGGGAATTAGATAAGCATATGGAGCAGAGATCCATCGGTGGCTATTAGCCACAAGGTATAGATAGGGACTCTGGGGCAAGGGATGCTCTGTATTCTTGTTGCTTGGGGGGGGGAGTCAATAATGGGAGGGCTCCTAGTGTCCTGGCCTCACTCCTGATGGCACCTGGTATTTTTGGCCACTGTGTGACAGAGTGTTGGACTGGATGGGCCTTTGGCCTGATCCAACATTGGCTTCTCTTATGTTCTTACCACTACATCCTTGGGCAGCGGAGGCAGGCTACACTGCAGATATGGCAAGAATGGGGCAGCCGTTCCTCTGATACTTGTTTAGAGGAAGATCAGCTTCCTAGGAGAGTTGGGAAACCAGCAATAACAAGCAGTTGCTGGAGACACAGTTCCCTTGGGGCTGTGAGCAGCAAGCTGTCAGGTGAGGACTGCACACAAGCCTCTCCCTCTAGGGAAGAAACAGAGATTAAAACTTAGGTTAACAACTTTAAAAATAAATTCCCCTTTAGACACTCGCTTGTCCTATCTCATTAATGCTTACAGAAGCTATACCTAGAGTTGGGCCAATTCCGCTGCTGTACTAATATTTGCTCTTTGAGCTAATGTTGACTGCTGGTTTGATACAGGTCATTGGATTTACATTTGTCTGATATTCTATCAGTATAGGTTTTAAATGAGTTGATGATAGGTTTTAATGATAATAACGAAGAAAGGTAAAGTCGACTTATTACAACAGCTCTGGAATACCGCTTATAACGAAGGTGTTGGACTGCAGACTCCGTATGCCGCAGAACCTGAGTCAGCTGAGCATTGGCCCCTCCCCTTTGTGCAGGTCTCTGAAAGGCTGGGCTTGGCCAGAGGCACCAGCCAAAGGGCTCTTGCCTCTCAATCTGTGCCTTGCAGCTTGTCCTAGTTAAGGGGCACACTGGCTTGTATGTGTTATTGTTTGCATTTTACTGTCTACTTACTTTTTAAAACATTTATATCCCACCTTTCTGCTTGGCTCAAGGCAACTTATAGCAGCTGCCTTATTGTTTGTATCTCTTTTATGCAGCTCTGAGCCCCCTATGTGGAAAGAATGTGGAGGAATATAAAAATATTAAACAGAAACACCAAATTAATTCATTTGGAAACTATGCCAGGACTAGAGGCAGGAGGGAAGGGAGTGCTGCAAAGTTACCTCCTGAAACAATTAAAAGCATTTTTAGTACAAGAACTTCCTTTGTGCATGAAAGAGATACCAGCTATCTAAAACGGACATTTAGCTCTCTTCCGCTCCTCTTCCTGGCCCTCAGTTTCGGATTTAAATACTTCCACAACTGCACGTCAACACACAGGGCATGGGAAGATCAGTAAATGGAAACCCGAAGGTAGATCCAGCAGTAAGATAAATCTTAAAGACTACATCCCAATAAACTGCCCCAATCCCTGGTCCAAAAGGAAACTGAAGCAAGATCTGTTACTCTGGCTGGAGAAATCACACTGTGGATGGACAAAGTTACTAACAAGGCTGACTTGAGATGGGCATCTTGAACGCTGGCTCCTCTTGATTAAATTCTCAGATGCCTAAAAGGGTATGGCCAGAAGTAGCAGCTAAATTTTTCGGTGATGCTTAATTAACTCTTAACTTTGATACGGATGACACAAAGCGTACAAAAAACCATGAAACCCAACTAGCGTACCTTTATTTAAAAACTGATTACAACATTCACATGTTACAACTATTTCCAAATGTTACAAAATCAGTGTCACATTTCTCTGAATAGTTTCCTTTTAG